TGTTAATTTGTTACATTAGCATTTTTTAATATTTCGTAAACCTATCCAGAATTTAAGAAGGTGTAGGGCGTGAACACTGACCAAACTCCCTCTGTCTCAGCTGCTTGCAGACACTCAGTAACTCTTCTGCGAACACTTTGGTCGCCGCAGGTGTACGTTTGGCAATCCCTGTCTTGCATGATTCAAATTTGTGTAAATTGTGTATTTCATAAAGGCAATTGGGAGCGGATCCATAGAGCAAAGTAAGCAAATGGGTTAAGGTAGCAAGTGTAGAAATATTCAAAGTGTGTGATGTTTGAGTAAAGTCACACAGAATTAGTAGGAATTCGGAATTAGGAAGCTTATTAGAATTAAAATTAGAAAATTCAATTGTGACACTAGAATTTTTAATTCAGAAATCAATTGTAGATGAAGGTTTCTTTAACTAAATTAAGTCATTGCATAAGGAGTGTTGGATCATTTGATTGTTGTTATGTACTATTGAATTGTTTACTTTCAGCTGATGGTAATGCTGAAAAGCAAGTAAGAAGAAACCTAAGGTAAAACTTTCGAAATATTATTACATTTGTTCATTTGTTAAGATTCGAGTTCATTAATAATTTTTGGCATGTCAGTAGAAATGCTTTCCTGCGTGTCACTTCTGACATGTTTGCCGATTGTTCGCCATCACTGGAATATCGTGATGAAATAGTCAGTAGTGCCCAGTGTCAGGTAGTTGAACTTTTTTGTTTTGATTCCACTTTTTCCTTTATTTTAATTTTAAATTATTTTATTATTAGACCCTTACATGACTTGCGCATTTTGTTTGCGAGTTCTGTCTTATTAACTCCCAGGATCCATGATTAGGTTTGTGTTCCCTAGAATGCATACGTACCTGTAAATCAGGAGCAGAGCATTCATGTTGAAAGTAATAGTCTTGCTAACGTTTTGAAAAAAATATTTCTCACAAATTTAATTGTGATACATTTGTATGCGCGTGCCGTGTTTTGACTTGTGATTTGTGTATCGTGCAGGATGAAGTACAATGTTTATACTCTGCTGCCAAAATTTTCATGACCCCTGCCTTGGGATTTGGTCAACACACTTGAATGGTCCTACACGGTTATTGCTGTACATTTTGCTCTGTCCATCAATCAGCTTACACCAACTCCTCTGTACGTGAATGGATTTGTGTGAAATTTTAAAGATTGGATAATATCGATTATCATTTTTCTTGAATGCTGCGTACATTATTATTAGATACTTTCAGTAAATATTTAGCCAATTTTATAGCCAGCAACAGGATATTCAATTCTTTCGGAAAAATATGTTCTTAAGTGAGCTGTGCGTTAAGTTCATGAATGCAAAACATGTCTGTCTGTGGGAAAGTGTGCAATTTTCCAACCTCACTTTCTTCTTCATCCAGTGTCTGACGTACAGGTGAAAAAGTTCTGTTACCGCCTACGTAAAGTATAGGAATGTTTGTGTAAATTATATTAGTGTGCGCGCTGTTGTTTTGGTAATGTTGCCAGTTCCAGTGTGGTTTGAAACATAGAATTTGCAGGAGTAACATTTATTAACTGTATTTTGTAGAGATTCCTTCACTTCTTCTGTTAATCTCTCCTGTACATTGCAGATGTTTTCCTACGTGACCCACCCCATAATGAATTGTTGAATGATGAGAGATAACTGCTTCTTGTAGGACTGCCCAGTTCTGACAAATCCTTCAGTTACAGCACTTCCAAGCATGAGCAGAAATATTTGCAGGTGTTCCTTGTTGTTAAGTCACGCAACCTGAACATTAATATGGTGTCTGCCACAGACCATTCTTGGAATGTTGGTTGTTTATGGAGTCATCAAAAGGAATTATAAAGACATGTCCATATTATCCACATGTAAATGTTTCTTTGCCTTCAACTTTGGTGAATGGCTCCTTCGTCGTATTTTCACACTTGGAAGTAATGCAATCGGCAGGAAGCGTTTACAGAACTTATGTCTTCTTAAATTATTATGGCTCAACTCATTGACAGACATCAGCTGGTACGCTTACACTCCTGGAATAATTTGAATGTGCTTTTACGTCGTTGATGTCAGTATCAGAGGATCTTTTGCGTAGGGAGTTTTGTGGTGATCCAAGGACAAAAGCAGTGAGTTCTGCACACTGTTATTGTTCTTATGGTGGCTTACCACTTCTCAGCTTATTATTGATACTTCCTGTCTCGAATAACTTACATTCCCACCTCAGTTTTTCACTTTTGCAGCTCTATGCTTGTGAAGTCTCATTTGAGAGCCATTACAGATTTTAAGCAAAGTTTTGCGTTCTATGAGTCAGTGCACTTCTACTCACTCTTCAATTCTGGCCTCCATTTTCTCATAAAATTTGCACAAAAAATATTAATAACTAACTAACTAGATGGCTTAGAGAACCCGAAGGTTCATCACCGAATTAACCAAAGCCCTTCATCGATCTTTGTCCTGAGCCAGAAAAATCCAACTGCCTTTAACTCCTATAGATCCAACCTGACATTATCCTCCCATCTATGTCTAGGTCTCCCCAGCAGTCTCTTCCTTTCAGACTTTCTGACCAATACCCAGTGCACATCTCTTGCCCCATCCATGCACCGTCCATCTCATTCTTCTCGATTTGATCACTCTGACAATATTGGGGGAGGTCTACAAACTTTTAAGTGAAATAAACAAATAAACATAATCAGACACAAAATATGGAGATGGTAACTGGACTTCTTACGAGCGCTATACATGTAAGAGCAACGTACACAGTTATATCTCTTTAGCCATAGAAGGAATGCAGAAACTGAGATGGTTAGGTGGCAAGGAGGAGGACAGAAAGTATTTACCAAGTTTGCCTTATGTCTGCTGGCAAAGTCAACCTGCTCATTTTCTTTAGTATTTGTCAGGTACTACCAAATTGCAATATGATCCACAAAGGGTAGTTTCTGTTAGTCACTGCAGATGTAGCCAGTGTCAAATATTTTCAGTGCAGATCATAGTTGCATACAGCAGATAATTGGCTCTGTCACGTTTCCACATTCCTCTTCCTCCTTTTAATTCTACCCTATCCTTCAGGGCTAAAGAGCTCAGACCCAAACTGCGTACATCTCAGAATTTCTGTACTTCTTAAATTCGCAATATGCAAACTGCACACATTGAAACAGCTGTGGTGGATGCAGTCAGGTGCCCGACGTGAGAGGCGGATAACGTACAATCTTAAGGGTAATATGTTATGTATGAATGAGCGTGTTCTCTAAATATTAATTTGTTGAAACCTAGCAGTCATCAGCCTGATTGCTTTTATTTTAAAATTTTATATCAAAACCATTGCTTTCAAAATATTTTTGTCTGCGGAACCCTCTTTGCCTCTAAAAACAATGATGAATTCTCAAACCAAGCCAAGCTAAGATGCACATATTTATGGAAAATACACAAAGAACTGGTTTTAATATGGTAGTAAAAGGTAAAGGAAGCTAAAATTTCCCATGAATTTTCTCGTAGCACTGATTGGAGTGATGTCCACGACTGATATTAGCTGAATCTTGGGGGGCGGTGCTATAGAATTGGACTCATGTCGTAGCAGATTTTGCATTCTGGGAATATTATTTTGCTTAAGGAGGTACGTAATTGAAAAGTATAAAGCAGCCATCATTTAAATACTACTTGATCTAGGAAAAATCTTTATCAGCCTCAACATTATGTTTGCTAAGATTCCCAAAATTTGTGAAGTTTAGAAAATATTTATTTTCTTGTAGACTGTAACTGAAATGTCAAAGATATGTTTGGGATAGTTGTCAAATTTATAACTTTGACACGTAGGCATTTATATTGAAGTTCCTCAACAGAAAATGAATTTTCAGAAAATGTGGGATTCACTGGCCCTTCTGTTTTTTCTCTTTGGTGGTTATCAGGGAATTTGTTGTTCACTTAGCCTCAAGCAAAAATCTTTCTTTCATCAGTTTGTCTTATTTTCTAAGAGTTCATTTTTAAATTTCTCTTAGTGATATATCATAAAGGGAAAGGTTATTATTCATCTGCCTAAAAAATTATACCAGGATGGTATAGTAGAATCATGCTCTGACTGTTTTACCCCCCGTTGAATGGTCTGTTGGTCCAAGTGGGTAGGGGTTGGGGGTGATCTTGATGACATAGCAAATGAAAGAGTCCCTGCCCCTCCTGGGAATTAAATCCTGGTTGTCCAGCCCATAACCAATGACTTCCTTAATCCTTAGATTAAATAGTGACCTTTAATAATGATTCTGTTGAGATTTGTATAGAAATGTTGGCTCTCAATAGGATGTCTAGAGACGTAACTCTGTTTAAAAAATGTGAACCAAAATATAACTCGCCTGTAACATTGCGGTGTAGTTTTCAGACTGTCGCTATTTTATAAAACTTAGTTCTAGAAATATCAATGAAACACAAAATGTGAAAGGAAGTTCAGTGTTGTGCCAAATTCGTCACTCTGCACACTTCTCATCAGTATTCTAATTATTGTTGCCACACCCCATATACAGCTACTTGTCAGTGTCTGTGATTCATCCCTTAAAATAGTGCTTGATGTTACATGTACGTAAAAGTCTAGTGAAGTAAGGTCTGGAGGTTGAAGTGACCAATGTTTAGAACAACCTCTTCAAGTTTTCTACCCTGGGAAATGCTTATCTACGCTTTCACGTACAACCACTTCGCTGTGAAATGGGGCTATGTCAAATGGGGAGATTCCTGTATTTTCATTTTGTGGTAGCACGTAAGTTTCAACACCTCTGGTATTGCTTATGGAGGTTTAAATGAGTATTTTGCAGGACAGGAAGAGGGAGTTTGAAACCTCAGCCACCTTAGTCTGCAGACCTCATGCCCACATGTCTATGTAAATTTTGAAAATTGATTGCATTGGCCGTTTGAAAGAGAGAAGAAAAGATCAGACATATTTTGAGAATGAAACTCCACATGTACTCAGTTGGGTGGCAAACGCTGGAATACCGGCTGGATGTGTATGAACTCAACTTTACTACCACAGGCAAGCTGTCAGTTTCTCTTTAATTCATGTTCTGACTTTAATGAGTACAAAATAACAAAACTTTAAAATAGCACCATCTCTTCAACAAGAATAGTTTCCTTAATAAAAAATGAAGTTTTTCCAGACGGGCATGGCATTTGATAAGAGTTAACGTGTGAAAGTGTTTACTGGCAATTCTTGAGGGAGTATGAATACTTGATTCAACAGTGAGAAGAGTGCACAAAATCTGTGTATGCACACGTGACATCTAATCCAAAATGGGAGCCAGACTAGAGAACTGAATGATCATTGTTTGATGAGATATTGGTTTCTCGACACAGAAGCACACCCCCTCCTGCCAGCAAAACAATTCAGAAGAGTCCCATCAACAAAAAATACTTTTGTGCCAGTCTTCTGGGCTGCAGAATGACTCCTGTTGGTGCACTTGCGTGTCGTCAGTGGTGAGACAATCGGATGTTAACTGTGTCACGTTGAAGAACCTGTGGGAAGAGGTTTGTTGAAAGAGACTGAGAAAGATGCAAGATGGCATGATGCCACACGCAGCTTGGCAGGCCCCGCAGCAGTTCCACTGGTATGCGTCGGAGGTGTTGCGACCTTCTGCGCGTGGGCGCCTCTGATGGCATTTATTGTGGCAGTGGTTTGTGAATAATGATGTTCAATAAAACCTTATTGGGTGATCAGCCGTGTCATATGGTTAAACAACAAAACTGACGTTTCAGGGACTGTCGCTGTCACCATCATCAGGGTTCTGATGTTATTGTCATGATGATCACTTGGGTACATGTGGTTGCCCAGGGTTTCTTTGTGGAGGGCTTCAGTAATTTGGTTCCCTGCTGGTGCAAGTGCCGTAACAGGGATGTTGATTGTGTAGGAAAATGAACTACAATGTCTGCATGTGTGGACGCAGTTGTGTCTCTGTGGAAATAAATGTCATGCCACAGTGTCCCTGTGCACCTTACTTTCAGAACAAGCCTTGTGACTGAAACACCTGTGATGTGTTCTGGCACGTGAGAAGCTCATATAAGTTCTTTTACACCATGATTAACGCTGCTTAATAAGCAAGTATAATATTATGAAGTACTGAAAAACACATATTAACATTGAAGATGGTACATACCAGATGCTGTAACCAGCTGTTGTAGGAAGTTTCAATCATCAAAACAGTTTTATGTTTTGTTCAGATTCTGCAGTCGTGTTCTGTCATCGATACATTCAGTAACAGGCATTTCTGCTCTGTTGCCAAGCAACGGTGATCAACAGTCTGGTACATATATTTCTGATTTTAAAAGCAAATACTTCTATAGAATGTATTGGTACATATTTTTGTTCTTTGAATCTACTGCTGCTGTAATGACTTCTGTTGGAAGGAAGTTGAAGCATGATGAACACATCATCGGTGCTCAGAGAACACATTTATCTTAGCAGTAGTTGCCATCATCACTAGTGAATGTGATTGTTTTTCTGTATTGACCTTTTGAAACAGTAGCCAAGTCCCTCATCATCTCCAGTTCCATACTTGAAAATGTTTGAGGCTTCGCTTAGGTAATCTTGAGGCTAACATTTTTTGTTTGGTGTTGAGTAATAGTGTATGGCATCTTATTTTGTTTTGTGCTTGGGGAAGATGGGATTGCTTTGGAGGCAAGAAACAGTTGCTGAAAGCCCACCATTGTTCTATAACTTTTCTATGTTTTAAACACATGGCAGGTCTTTCAGGCCTGCCATCTGTTGTGTTGCTTCCTCTCTTTGAGGACAGAAAAGTGCCCATGGCATTGTGAATTGATTATTACATTTCGTATGTTGTGTCTCATTTAATTTATTGTTTTGTTTCTGTTTACATGTCAAAATGGAGAATTGTTGAATGTGTTTGGTGTTCTGGTATTGGAAGTTTAAATTGTTAATTTTTGTTTTTAGTTTTAAGACAGAAGATCCAAATTAATGTTAATATGAAGATTTGTTCTGATAGATTTAAATGCATCTGGAAACTGTCTTACTGTCTGCAAGAGCAATGTTTCCAGAGGGTGAATATATTTCGTTAGGTATCCATTTACATAAGAGAATAGCATAGTCCCTGTTTAATATGTGCTGTGTTATGGCGACCAGATTTTAAAAGAAAAGTGTTTAGAAGAGTCACACACATGAAAAAGCAATGTGATTTTATTTTATAAACATAATTTTGCAATAAAATGTATCAGGAAAAATAATTTGTCATTTCACATTCAGGAATTAGGTTAGGTTTACAGTGGTAATTGCCAGTCATGATCACATGCGAGTTTGTAAATGTTAGTATGATTAATGAATTTCTGAAAACATTTCTTTTTTTTTTAAGAGTTCTTGTGCGACAAAATTGGTAGACTTGGTAGATTCATTAACGTATTTTTCTTGCATTTGTCCCTTTAAAAATCAGATGTCTGATCACTGCATGCTATTTGAATTGAAAATTAGATATTTCACCTTTCATGTCAACTTAAGTGTATTATTAATTATTTTCATAAATTATGTTTTCATTGAGTAGCAAGTTTAGAGTTATTTCTGGAGATTGACAATTCTGCATCTTAGTTACAATTCACAAGCAGTTAATTATTACGTGGATATGGATTTTTGTCTTTAATCAGATTTCATTGATTTAAACTGAATGATGAAATTTTTTTTCACATGTTAAAATTTGGCCACATGTCAATGTGTGAAAGAAACATGTCTTGCCAGTTTTTAAGAGTTAAAGACAAATATTGTTTTTCAGTGACATAAATTATTTGATAACCACAGATGTTCAAACACATTACACTGCACGTAACTTCATTACTGCTGTGTTCTCTGTGGTTCAGAGAGAGAGATGACAACGTCTTGGAGCAAGAAAGTGTAAAAGTTTAAAGTCTCCTCGTAACATACTGATGCAGGATTGTGTTCCGTTTAAGGTTCAGCAAGCAGGATGGCCATTCCAGGTGAAGATTATTGAAATTTTTGTCTGTTAAGACCAACATCTGCTCAGAAACTGGATATGCTTTAGAGTGTATTGATTATTTTAAAAGGAAATCATTTGTTTTATTTTCAAAGTTGCATTTTTCTAAGTTGAGGGTTTGATTTTCAGATGTTGTAATTATACTCATTACATCTTGATGATTATTTTTTCTTCTCTCTGTTTCTCCCGTTGCGCTGGTCATTCAGGAGGAAAAAAGGTGAAGCGTTTGGAAGCAACTGTTGAAATCAGCACGCTCTCACTTCCATAGTGCACTTGGTACAAAGCATGTTAAAAACTCTTGTGTGTTCACATGTCAGTCGTAATGAGCATGATCGAAAGCACCGTAGACAGTTTGGTAAAGGTAAACAAATATTTCTTAAATTTTATGCACTGACGCAAGTACACAGCATCTTTTAGAGTTATAAACGACATTGTGGTTAAATTATACAGAATAATAAAAAATATGTACCAGTAAGTTCATTGCAGGCCTAACAAAATTACATTGTTTTGTTCCACTCACTTGTCTGCCCCTTATTATTACAGTTGCAGGCAATCAGAGTGGCGTAGGTACTCAGTGGTAGAGTGCTTTTGGTGGCCTTCTGGGTCATAATGTTGGTAGACTAGTAGGCAGATACCAGCATTCATCCCTGAAGATGAAAACAGAAAGTTCCTCTGAAACATTGGTATCTAGAAGACGGCAGTCTTCTGGGATGTTGCGCTGTGTAGTCTGGTGGATATTGACCAATGTTTCAGAGGAATTTTGTGATTCCAGGGTGATTTCTCTGATGGAATGCTAGTCAGTACGTACGAGAGTGCACAGAGGAACATCGCAGAAGACAGCCATTTTCATGCTCATCACCATGAGATCCTGAAATGTCAGAATTGGTATCTGCACACAGGTCCATATGACATTACAACCCAAAAGACTACCATCAGCGTCTCTGATAAATGTTCAGGGGCAACAAACTATGTCAGTTGTGGACAGAAGCCCAGTGTTTCAGAGACCATCTCCATCATAAGGGAAATGAACATAATTCGTAGAGTCAAGGTGCCCTGATTTATTCTGGGAAAAAGCTTTAGGAGAGAAATTATGAGATTAGTCATTAGAATGACCAGAATAATGTATGTGACTGTGGTCGCTGGTGCCCCATCCAAAGGATTTTTCTTTCTTTTTTTGTTTATCATGGTTCTGACTGACTAATAAAGGAGTGGCGTCTGCTTATTGAGCCATGGCTTGTGCTTGCAATGTCAGAGCCACCTTGTAGTTCGTAATTCTGAACCTGGGATTCGGAAGAGTTTTAAAAATTCCATTAAAGGCGGTATTAAATGTTGCTTGGTATTATAATTTGTTTATGAAATGTTTGCCTCCACCACCCGTACACTGACTGCAAAGGTGCTGTATCATTTCGATCATGTTCATGAGTGCTTGCTTTTTCGCTGTTCACCATTCCATCACCAGTTTCGTGATTAGATATGCACAGTCGTCTTTTGAATAGTTTTAATCGATGCATATGGGTTGATGTTTTTGGGTTTATAAATGCAGGTCTCTGTGATCAGGTCCTTACAGCCATCTTGTTTCTGTGAGACCTGTCGCCAAGCTGCTGCACCTCATTCTGACATAGAAGTCATGTTGTACAAAAGTAATGAAAAAATGAGAAAGTCGCATTTTAGTCGTAAAGAAAACAGCCAACACATTTTCTCTCAAGGTACTACAGTATTTAAGGTGATGCTTTATTGTGCTCATTTGAATGTGTTGCATATAACTTCTGTATCTGTGAGGGAAATTTAAATTTTTCACCATGGAGATTATATGAGATTCAATCAAGAAAAGTTTCCAGAGGAGGTTTCATATAGGGGAATTAAGTATTGTTACTTGTTGCATTATGAAATTACTGGTGTGGTTTAAGGATATAATCTTATTGGTTCTGATCCAATGTATTTGTCATATTAGTGCAAGGTTTTTTTCCTGTTTTCTGAACTGAAAATAATCTTAGAAGGAAAGATGCTTCATCAAATGACAGGAATCATTCAGGTACTGAATGTTATTCCCAAGCAGAGTACGATATGTGCTTTAATAGATGGCAGAAGCAATGTAAATTTAGATTGTTTTGACTTTTAGTTCCACTGACCAAAAGATCGGCTGTTTATTACGGACCTCATGTCTTGATAAGTTTTTAGAAAGAAGAGGAATATTTGGCAAATCACTGTTACACATTTAATTGTAAGTTTTTAAAATCAACAGTGTGATATGGACTTTTTCACGTGCACCTCAGAAGAGATGGGTATTGATGGAGTTTTTAAGGAATTTTTTCTTCTGTGTTGTCATTTTGATTTTGCTTGCTTTTTACATTATTATGTTCATGTGTCTGCATGATTTTTGTGGTGTTGTCTTGTGTTTGTGGGTGAAGTTAGGTGGACCTGGTGTTTTAGAGTTAATGAGCACCACAATTTTTGTTATGCCGATAATGGAATAATTATGTTCTCTTCTTGATCGTCACAGACTTAGACAGAGCCGAATACCAAGTGTGACACTCCTAGGTGATGCTTTAAAGAGGACTCGTGCTCAATTGACAAACTGGTTGATGTCAGGACAGTGTGGTGACAGTGAAGGATCTCGCGTAAGCAGCAGCAGTGATGTGGCAAGACATTGGCATCCAGAGTACATCGGAAATGGGAAGAGTCTGGGCCGAATATCCCGAGCTGCTGATGGCCGTTTTGTGCTTGCTGACTCATCACGCTCCTCTGCTAGTAATAGTGTCACCAGTAGTAGTGATGACGGTGGGTTCTTACCCCATAGAGGCAGACGAAGGGCCTCGTGGAGACGACCGCTAGTGGGCTACCCCAGCCAGTTGAGCCTGAGGTCTGATGGTTCTGGGGAAAGCGGGGTTGGCGGAGGTCTTGCCGCAATCCTTGATGCTCTGGGAGGCCGGTCATCCCCACCTCGCTACCAGCACCAACTTCCTCTAGTCCCAGCTATTTACTCACCACCTGTTCCTGTACCCAGATTGCGGGCCAGCTCTCCTGCCACGCCTGGCTCTCTGCTCACGACTGCCTGGTCTCCAAGTTACAACTTCAGTGACTTGAGCTCAGTGCCCCAGCTCAGCTCTGTGGACCGCTCATTGCCCACTGGCAGCACCTTCACCACAACCACACCCCCCAGTTATCTGCAGCTGCGCTCAGTCCATGAACGCTACAGCCAGGAGTTGCCCTCACTGCGAGCAATCCACGAGGAGTCGAGCCACTGGCAGCAGCAGCAGCAGCAGCAGCAACAGCAGAGAACAGTGACTGTTGCTGCACCTCATCTCATCACACCCCCTTTGTTTCTACCAGTACACCCTCTGGCCACTAGCTCACCTCCAAGAGTTCGCATCCCACCGCCACGCCCACCCCTACCCTGGGCTGAAGATCTGGTCCCTCATCACCCAGGTCATGGGACTGGCACCATAGCAACTGCTCGCCCTCGTGCCAGACTGCCACCACGCCATGCTCGTCATGCCCGAAGTGCACCCGAACTTGCCGACCCAGAGCGCCACGATGGTCTTCTAATGGAAACTTCACCTTCTAGTTCCAGTGGGTTTGGCAGCAAGAACACATCACAGCAGAACCAAAGTTCTCAGTCTGGAAGCACCAGTGCCGAGTGGCGATTGCCTCCATACAGGCCGCCCCCCCCACCACCTCCACCACCACCTCCTCCTCCTCTACCACTGCAACAAATTCTTCGTCCATCTCATCCCCCAGCTCCACCACCCCTGGTTGGCCACTGGCTCGAATTCACTGCCGGCCTGCAAGACACATCACCACCACATTCAGAACCTGGACATCTCCGCAGCTCCAAACCTCTGGACACAAGTGTAGATGGCCATTATGAATTTGATGCCATATTTGCTGCAACACCTACACCATCAACACCTACAGGGGTTCGCACTGCCCTGCCCCGGCAGCGGTTGGGTAGCGGCGGAGAAGACAGAGGTATCAGCGATTCCGAGATATATTCTGCATCCTTTTACCCGCCGCGACCCAAGAGGCCTTCCAAGTATGATAACATTGAAGCACGTGTTCAGGCAATGAAAGAGGAATTCCACGAATTCAGGAAAAGACAGGCCAAACGGAGACGGAGTGAAGAGCTTGAGAGTGCGTGTTGAGTTTCTTTTTTGCACTTCATTTATGTCCATTGGTTCGAGCAGAGCAGGCATATTCCTTCTTAGGTTTTGTTAAGGATATCAGAATGTTTGGAAAGTCAGCTTAGCGTCACTTCCAGAAAAGAAGCTCTAGCTCTGTCTTCTGATTATTTTGCACTATTCTGGCTTTCTTGAATGGTTTATATTAAGATGGATTTGGCACCGTGTGACCCTTCGCTTTGTATGAATATGTCCCAGTGCACCGATGCACACTGCAGCCTTTACATCCAAGGTTCCTTTAAAAGCGTTCCATTCCTGTGCTTCAGGCTAAGTGCTTCTACCTTCATAGCACAATCTGGCAATCATTTCACATTGCTTAATTTGTGTGGCAAAAGATCTTGGGAACTTGCGTATGAATTTCAAATATACTTCCCTCTGTAGTGCTCTTACAGTACTTTTGTAGGGCATTATTCGTTGTCTTTTATTTAGAAATTAAACTTTTAAAATGAACTACATTTTAGAGACTGGTTCTATCTGTCTCCACGTAAGGCGGTGCATACTAGGTGAGCCTGTCATATAAAACTGTTCTTCATTCGCACAGAGGCAGGGAATGTGAAATGATATAGAATTAAAAATGGCTGTCTTCTGGGTTGTTGCACCGTGTAGTCTGGTAGAAGTTTACTGAAGTTACAGAGGTCCTTGCTGCCTCCATCATCACCCTGATGTGGAAACTTCAAATCCTACATATATAAAATTAGAAATAATTTTCCTCATGGAAGGTTGGCACTGAATTAGTCCGCCATATTTATGGTCATACTGGTGCTTCTGTCACCTCCCTCTGCTGAGCACACTTCTTCAGAAATGTACTGCAGATTTGCCTGAGGTTGGCAGGGGCCAGTGATGGTCATAAGGTCATAACAAATGATGTCTTGGAGGCTCTAAAACCAACCCATCCATATCTTGTAATGATGTGAATTGCTGGTGTTTGTTTTAACATCTTTTCATGGCTGCCAGTTTTAGATGCACTCTCATATTTGTAGTCATTAATTGTTTATTGGAAAAAATCTGAATTTGTCATTTTGTAAGTTGTTCAGTTCTCTAGAGCTCCGGTTCTGCTTACGTATTAAAAATCGTTGAGCACCGAGTTGCTCTCGGTTTCATTATAAATGAAACCGTGCTTATTCGTTGTCTAATTCCTGAGGTGAGAGATGTAAGGGCTGTGTTGTGACAAAACAGAAAGTCGGACTACAGTAAACTCTTCGTTTAACAAATGTCATTTTTACAGGCTTACCATTTTTATACATTTTTCTGAACTAGGTCTATGTGTAAATATGTTCATAAGTACATTAAATTTGTACTTTTGGGACAATGTGAAGTTCATATAACAACAGTTTTATTTCATTCTCTAACCTGCATTAATGTGCTAGTATAAATAATTAAATAAATAGAAATACCACTTGCAATTTACACATATTGCTGCAAACTGAAGCTCGGGAGTCCGCATTTTAAGTTCTAGTTTTAAGAAAGAGCCTGTAGTTACTAGTTCTTACATCACTTTAATAAACATTTTCACAAATTGTTTTAATTTATAGATGAGCTTAAATTTAGAAATATATTTATTATTTGCAAAATGTTGTTAAAACAATAATTAGCTCTATGAAGATTCAACAAAATTGATCATGCATGCATTTTGAGGTTTTCAGAGTGACAAGTATTGAAATGTTCATCTTTTGGGGATGCTGTACCATCTAGATTGTCAGTCAGATTCTACCAGACCAAGTGGTACGAATCACATAAGACAGTCGTCTTCATATATGGATGGGTTTGGCGAGGCCGCAATGTAAAAATACTGCAGAGTCGATTTGTATGTGACTTATGAAGATCCCGCCCGGTCTCTGCCACAAATTAAGCTCTGTGTTTGTTGATTAACTGATGTCACCACATGTCCACGACAGATAAGCCATTCAATTTCCTTTGCTACTGGTGCCCATAATTTAAAATGCTATGATAAATAGCTGTAACGTAAGTTGGTAACAATTTAATTGCATTTAGTTAAAAGTGAACCAGAGAGTTGTCATTCATCTAGCACACAGATGTCTGCCCCCTGAGTAAAGGAATCACTAGGCCTGTCCAGTAGCAGCAGCACAATTTAATTAGATATGTAGAATAACCAAGGGGGGGGGGGGGCAAACATGTGGCATTTATTGAATTTATGAAGTTCTTAAGTATGGTAGTGCTTGAAGTCACTTAAAATATGGAAAAGAGTGTTCAAGTGCATTAAACTGAACAATACTCAAAACCAAATAATTACAAGCGATTACAAAAACTGGATATTATTATTAATATTATTACTATTATTATTATTATTATTAATAAGTGTTGTGAGTTTCAAACAAATTAAAGAATAATCAAATATATTAAAACTTTAAATGAATGAGTAGCGGATTGGTACTACTACGCATGTTTGAAATGAACGATATTGGTGAAGATGGTTGTGTGTGTGAATCCATATTGCTGTCTGTGAAAGTGGTTATTTAAAATATGAATGAAAAGGTTAAAATATTAATTATCCTCTAAGTATGAACTCCAAAGAACACAATTACAATGGAAGAGAGAAGGAGTAGTAATATAAATGATTTGTGCATTTATTCACACACTCAATTGCAAGGAATTTAAGATTGTATATAATATTATTCTGTTTCTGATGTTGTGGCTAGAAGCGGGCAGAGCTCAATTCTAAAATGAGAGGAACATTTAAGGAGCAGAAACAGAGGAAGGTTTTCTGGAGATAACTCAACATGAAGAAATACAAAGTTGTTGATGTTATTTCACATAATAATTCTAACGCTTTATCGTTTTATCTTTCTTTATCTATAAAGAAATGAAAAAACGGAAACATTTTCCACACAGGCTGTTGCAATAGATATTTATTATTAGCGCTATTGCAAAACGTGAGCGAAAACAAGAAAATTTTGTTTGTTCTATGATATGAATTTTGCCTGCTTTATTTTTAATTGTTAATTTAGTTAAGTTTCCAAAGTACAAAGAGAGAGGAAAGAACTTGAATATTGTTGTTATTATTATATTATTTTGTATATAATTTAATACCATTAGCATATCACACAAATTGCTGATGATTTGTTTCTTTGTATTTACAATTATTAAGTTTCACCATCGTACATCTGCATTTGTACACGTTTCATCATCAGACGGCGGCACTCTTTAGTGAAATTTCTCGAAACAGAGTAAGGAATTGATAAATATCATTGCACAATGAAATATTAGACAGGACGTCATTGTATGGTTGGGGACACTTATGCTTGTCTGTTTGTGATGTCCTTTAGAAAACTTGGAATGTATCCTAGTCTCAGTGTACCTATGTATATTCACGTCCCATTAATTTTATTCCTGTCGTCTTTCTCTGTTTTCTCTGAACCTTGCAAAAAATTGTGGTTATAGTGCTACTTAATCTCTGCCACTGGTAACATCTTTCGAGGTACTTTATTGTGTCGCAACACATTTTAACAAAGCATACTGCAGAATTGGTACTCATTCTGTATTGAATGTTTAAAGGAGAGATGATGCCCGTATGCATTTTTCTTGTAGATTTGGATGAGATTCAATATCTGATGTCTACATTAAATGTTGTGAAGACAATTTTAAGTTCATAATGATCTGTGATTATAAACTTAAAATTTTCTTCACAACATTTATGTTGGAATGAGGTATTAAAATCTCTGTTGTACCGCAGGGCTCTCGGTTGGACTCTATTGTTGACAGCTGCTACTGTGAGACGCAGTGAGCTGGACTGTGCATGAGATGAGATATGTGGTCAATGAAAGTTAAATAACACACGCTAGCTTCTCAACATGGAGACCCAGGTTCATCCTGTATGTCTTCAGGTGAGAATTTTGATGGACAGAATGTCAAAAGAATTTTTTTCCACCCAAGTTCTTACATTTTCCCCCCACTAATCATCATTCCACCATCGCTCCATGCTCGTCTATCACCGCCCAATGCGATGAGCAATAGTCCTGACCAAACGGCACTTTATCATACCCTCTGTACTGAGTTAGGGGCTTCATCCGTGACCAGCATTTTTCTGGTCTGAGTAAAGATACTTTCTACATATTGTGGGCCAAAAATAACCCCCACCTTAGAGATTCTTTGTAATTCTATTCCAGTACGGATGTTGCCATCTGACGGAGGTTCTGAACATCGATAAATCAGCCTACTGCAAAATATGAAAATATAAGTGTTAAAATCTGTCATGAAAACCTTAAGTCAGAATTGCTTCACAGTTTAGAGAATTAAGAAGTTTTCTTGACATTACTGATTCTTTTTTAATTTCCAGAGTGTGCTCTACTGACTTCCTTTTCAATTCCTTGGCTTGCGTCTCCCCAAAATGCTCTCTGAAGAGTCTTGTTGTTTCTTGGTTTTATTAATTTTTTCTAATGAAGTGCTGAATGTCAGGATTATTGTTATTAAATTGAGAAGCGCGTAGGAGGAAATGGTCATAGCCGATGTTAGACTGTTCACGCATTTGCCTGGAAGGAAGAAAATTCACTAAGAACCCGCTTACAAAGCAAAAGGTCATATCTCCATTCTGCACTTTTTCTTGTCTGACGAACGAAGTTTTGTTCTTCAGCTAACGGCAGTTTGCGCTCAGTGCAAGAGGCACATTTACTTTCTTGTCTTTCGGTGCTAAAGTAATGTGCCGAGGAATATGTTACCATTTGCGACGGATTTAATCAAATGACTTGTCTTAGGACAATAGTTATAGTTCTCACTGTTTTCATATCACAGAAGGGTGAAAGGTTGGTGATTATCGTTATAGACGAAACTGTGAAAAGAATAGAGTTTACAGTAAGGCTACTGATTGAGTTGTATGAGAGAATAAAACCTGAAATAGTTTACAGACATATTTAGCGTTAATCTTACAAATATTATATGCGATGTTCAAACTTTTTTGGGGACACTTTTAGTAAATTCTTCAAACAATTGTAGTTGTATGTGATACTGCCTGTTGCTTGACAGATTTAACAATTATGATGTATCTTCATTTACTTTGGGATAATGTTTGGACACAGATTTGGAATTCAATTTAGTTTGCTCAACAAATAATCATTTTCTGTTTTGAAAGCTCCTGTCTGTTTTTGTTTTTTTTTTGGGGGGGGGGTGTTATGTCATTCTGTCAGTTTAACAAAACTTGCTCCATTTTTTGTATAAAATAAAATTTCTGTTTGTTGCATTTATTCCCTTCCCGACCCAGAAATTTGCCTGTCAGCCCATGTTGTGAAATTTGTAGCAGAATGTTAAGCTAATATTGCTCAGACACTTGATAACAACGAGTTAATTCTTCCTCACAAAATCCCAAGATTCATTTTTTGTTGTGCTCTTCCTTGATGGTATACAAGTTTCTAGTATCTTAGTCCAAGGAGCCAAGCAACCTAGCTAGATAATGTTACGTAATTTTGACAGAATAGTTCAAAGAATTAAATCACAATCCCTAACTAACTAACTAACTAACTAGATGGCTTTAGGAACTTGAAGATTGATCATGGAATTAACCAAAGCCCTGCACCGGTCCCTGTCCTGGGCCAACAAAATCCAGTCTCCTTCAACTCCTATCTCCCATGGATCCCGCCTGAGATTATCCTCCCATCTACGTCTAGGTCTCCCCAGCAGTCCCTTCCCCTCAGGCTTCTCAACCAAAACCTGGTGCACACCTCTTGTCCCATCCATGCGCGCTACATGCCCCGCCCATCTCATTCTTCTCGACTTAATCACCCTGACAATATTGGGGGAGGAGTACAAATTTTTAAGTTTCTCATTGTGCAGTTTTCTCCATGCCCCATCATCTTCCCTCTTAGGCCCAAATGTCCTCCTCAACACCCGATTCTCAAACACCTGCAATCTGTGTTCCTCCCTCTGAGTGAGAGACCATGTTTCGCACCCATACAAGACAACATGCAAAATTATTGTTTTGTATACTTTAATTTTCAGGTTCTTAGAAATCATACAGAAGACTTTGAACTGAGAAGTAGCAAGCATTTCCGGAATTTAATCTCCTCCTAACTTCCTCATGAGTATCATTTTCATTTGTTCCCAGATATTTGAACTTTGTCACAATTTCAAAAGATTTATTAGCTACCCTAAGATAATTCTGCCCGCCTGTCTTCTGCTGACGAGATACTAACATGTACTTACGTTTTTTCTGAATTTACTTCTAGCCCCACTTGTCTACTAGCCTCTAGTAAAACTTCTGCGTTCCTCTTTATTGTATTCATATCGTCCCCCAATAAATTAACATCATCAGCCAATAGCTGATGTGTCCCATTCAATTAAAAACCCTCCTGCCTAGCTTGGACTTTCCTGATGGCGTATTCTAGTGCTAAGGTAAAGAGCAATGGGGACAAAGCATCTCCTTGTTTCAGACCGTTCTTGATGGAAAATCACATAGTTCCTAGTAAACAAAAAATCTAAAAATTGTGAAACTGAGGGAGTGAAATATTCCGCAGAAGGACTGCTGGGTTTATTAATCTCCCATCTTGATCTGCTTGTTAGATCTGATAGTCCATGGAATATTACAGGAGCTAACTGAGAGAGAAAATATCTGAGTGTAGGTGACTGTGGCCCTCCTGATTCTTTAAAAGATTTTACAAATATAAAATAAGAAAAGAAGTACATGGTTTAATTTTAGAACAAGTAACTTGTTAACTGTAGCCAGTATGTTAAAGGAACACTGCCTCCCAGAGATTATACATTCTGTCAAAGCACTAAGAAGTTACCTCTTAAATATTATATGGAGACTGGAAGACAGAAGTAGCAGTTCTGGGTGTTAGGCTTTCAAATATACAGTACCAGAAAATCTGGTTACGGCCCCATCGTATGTTATATTTATGCATATAAGCTACTAAATATTTCTGTATGCTATTTTCATTGTGCTCTTTAAACTACTCATTGCAGCGGTGTATCATATTTTGTGAAAAGTGTTCAAATTGCAAATATACAGTGGTTATTTGGTAGAAAGTGAAGTAATGTTAAAAACTGGAACTTGTGCTCCACAGAATTTTTAAGCTTTCTGTTTCAGAATCTACCCAGTGTTCAATATAAATTTCTTTGCCTTAAGTTAGAGACATAAAGGACTTTTTCCTGAGTCCGTCACTCCCAGCTTTTTGTATACCTGTAATAACTGTTCATCCACTTTATATGTAAGTCGTCATATCTGACATTGCTAAGTACTTGTGAACGATGCACAAAAGTCACAGTTCCTCTGTACTCTTCTGTTCTACATGTCGCAGACTTGCAGTTACGTTGACTAAAGCGTCTTCTGGGTATCGCATAATGTCAAAACAGTAAAAATTCAGGATTTTTAGAGAAACTTATTTGTCTTTCCTTTAGATTCAAACAAGGTCTTATGAAAAGTCATTAATTTTATAGTTCTGCTAAAATATTGTAAAGACCTTAAGTCTAATATAATTACCATATTACAAGCCATACACATTCTTGAAAGATATTTTAATCTGTAAGTTTCACAGAACAATTTGAAGTAGGTGTCTATTTTTTTTGAAAGGTGGCCAAGGTAGTTAATATGACTTCAGCCTCTGGAATAGACTCTACTAGAAGCATTTTGAATGACTCAGATAATTCAAGCAGATAAAAATAGCCAATTGTTAACATGCGTTTTGGTAAACGAGTGGATACAGTTGTAAGTGTAGGTAGAGTTTCATGTTTTCTGTAGTGCAAGGACATGGGAGCAATTTGGTGATTTGAAAAAAAACTGTTTTGTTTTCTGTATGGCGCTGCGTCTTGAAAGTAAGTTTAGTGGTGTGTTCCGCCATATTGTGGAGTTCTTCCTCGGAGCCCGACTGGAAAAGGACCGGTGCTCAGTTCAGCTCCAATCAAGACCGCACTAATATGGCGCATACAATTTTAATAGCCAATGTTGCATTGAGAGCTTCTTAAAAATTCTGGGTTATGGAGCATTCATTGTGTTTTGGACAGTACTGTGATTGGAAAATGCATTTTTTGGTCCAGTTTTAATTCCTAGTTTGAGATGTACATAGCCAGATTTGTACGAACATGTCAGGTCAGTGTGTTATGTGTTCAAATAAGATTTCTCCATTCATTAAAAAAATGATAACCTAAAGGAGACTTTTAGTATGTACTAGCATGTTATATTTCCCTTGTGTAAAGGCACTTCTTACACTCGGTCATAAAAATAAAAGAAGGAAACAGATTTGGAGAAATGTATTGAAAGAAAAATATGTAAATCTTAATAGACATGGACATTTGTTTCTTCATATCTATAAGATAAAGTTGCTTAAATGACTACAGTGGTAAAGTAAAGTTAAGTTTTAATACAAATATGTGGAAACAATGCATCGTGGTGACTCTCTGCATGTGCACCGATCTTTTAATGAGAAACAAGGAGCTAGAATCGTTGTAAACTCCTCAAACTTTTAATTAATTTTGTGATTGCCACTTCTGTTTTCATTCTCTAAGCTAATATAATCTGGCAGTACAATTAAATAATATGAAATAAAACCTAATTTATTTCAACTGAAATAGATTATTTCATTCTGCAGTTGTATAAGTCAAAAATTGATATTGAACTTTCAAAAAATCCTAATAGCAGTGTCACATCTTTTAAAGCATCGTGCTCTTTGACTTGTAGTTCTTTCCACTCTGAGACTTGAAGTTGTAATATTATCTCCCATTATATTTGCAGCTTTGTGGAACAAGCCAAAAGTCATTTTGAGCATTAATTTCTGCAAGAGTGGAATCCAGCTGCACGTCATAACCTATTCAACATACCCTGGACCTCCTTACTCTAAAGAATTTCTAACAGAAAAAACAAATCTATATGATTGGCATTTATAATGTCATTGGCGTCTTCAGTAAGAAGTAACATAGCTATAGACTACAAAATTACAGGGAATAATCCAGATTTTGCAGATAGGATTATTACTTTTACATAGGCAAGTTTTCAGTCTGCAGATTCTTAATTTTTAAGTCAGCCCTGGCAGTGTGTGCAATTCTATGGAGTACTGTAGTTACAGACTCTGTTGGTACATTCATTTATAGGAGCTGTGCAAATTCAGAGGCATGAGAATCATTGAAGGCTGCATGTAAGACCATAACATGAATAATTGTTAGGTTAGGTTTGATTCATTATGCCAGTTGTTGGTGTTTATTTTATTTTTAAGAATCATTGGCCATTTTGTACAACAGAGAGGAAGTTTTTAAAACTTCATGCTTGTAGCTCACAGTTAAGGATCCATATTTGTTATTTTATCAAAATAGTTTAATCTTTCAATTACATTTGTATCATCTTTAGTGTATTTACAACTTATTCACACATTCTAAATAATAAAAATGTAAATCTAAAAACATTATCACTTTGATACAAATTTTAATTATAGAATTTCAAAGTTGTTATTTTTTGTTGTTGCAAAAACTGGAAGTTATGTTATATTCTATATTGCTGGGATTGTGATAATGGCCATGTAAGGTGTTAAACTAAAATTAATGACAAATCTCATATTCTTTATGCATCCTGTGGGCCCAATATTTGCATTGCTTTGCCCTGAAGCGTTACCTTTGAATCACAGACTGAATTGTGTTGTCTTTTAAAGTGCTGTTTCTTTATGTACAAATAAGCTTCAGAGATTACAGAATGTGAAGTTCTTGGATATCAGTGTTATGCAGAATTCCAGAATTTTTGTCACTGGAGTATCAGTTTTTCAGAATTTCAATTATATATGTCTCAGTATTTTAACGTACTCGTCTGTACCTCCATATTACAGAATTTTAAATATCTGGGCACACTGTTACATATCTTTTATTTAGGTGTCAGTATTAGAGGATTTTTATGTCTGGTACAGAACTTCAGCGTGGGTTTCAGAATTAATATGGATTTTATCGTTACTTATTTCAGATATCTTGGCTTGCTGTTGCTGAATTCGTTGTGAGCCTTGACGTCTCAGAATTTCTGTTATCCGGGTAGAGTTTCAGATATGTTACGAAACTTCATGTATCTATGTCTCAAAGTGTTAAAACTACAAGCAATAATTCCTTGCTGTGTTTCATTTGCGTATTCTTTTCTTCCCTTGCCGTATATGGAACAACCTGGCACTTCAGTTTACGTAGATGTTACTATTTGGTATCACCAAATCAACTCTAACGTAAGCTGCTTTAAGCAGAAGATATTTTAAAAATGTACACGATCTATAAAAGGCGATCACAGAATGATTATAAACCCTTAGCACCAAAATGAAGAGCCCCATGCATTCTCGTTGATTTAAATAGTTTGCTTATATGTTGTCGATTAGCACGATCAAGTGAGAAGTCAAATGTTAAATTGAACGAAATGAACAAACTCTACAGGCAGAATGAAAAGTAGGTGAATTTTAATATTTCAAATTTGTAAACATGAAAAACAAGTGTTCACATATAAAAAGAAGCAAATGTTGTGAAAAAGTTTTGTTGCACACTGTTGCCATCTATAAAATAATAAATTAGATGATACAAACTCAAACTACTAAGTGAAGAACGTAAGATGTTCATTGTCATTTTCCTGTCTGCGCTCCCACTTGTCCACCGACATCAGTTGCAGGATTTTTATGTCGGGGAAGCAACTTGTGGGTGTGGACACCGCATGGCATGTCCTACAAGTAACCTAGACATAAAAAGTCTGGACTGAACTCATGGACGTAGTCTTCCCAGAGTAGCTGAACGTTCCTCTGTCTCGAAAATTGCTTGTTCCTGTGGAAGGTTTTCGT